GGTCCATTGTAAATTGGACAAAATGTGCCTTACATAATGACGTTCCAAAATGTGCCTTACAAAAAAAAAAACAGTCATGACATTATAAGGCATTAATATGTCATTCCAAAATATAGTACAACTACAAAATAGAAGATGGTCCATTGTAAATTGGACAAAATGTACCTTACATAATGACATTCCAAAATGTGCCTGAAAAAAAGCAGTCAGACCATTAAAAGGCATTACAAAATGACATGAAAAAATCTTAGCAGACATGATAATAATGATCAAGGTTGGTCTGAAATAGGCTTGCTACCCTTATGAAGTTATTTTTTTAGTTTTGGATGGTGGCTGACTTGTAACAATAGGTGGTGGTAGTTGAGTTGTAATAGCTTGTGGTGGTGGATGACTTGTAACAATAGGTGGTGGTGGTTGACTTGTAACAGCTTGTGGTGGTGGTTGACTTGTAACAGCTTGTGATGGTGGCTGACTTGTTGCCTCTTGTACCTGACATGAATCAATTGTTGTTGGTGGTTGTGTTGTTGCTTCTTGTACCTGACTTGGAGGAGCTTGTGATTATGGTAGTTTACAAGTGGCCTTGTTGTGACCATCCTTGTGGCAACGACTACACTTGATACCATGTATTTCCCTCTTTATGTGTGTCTCATTCCTCACCATTTCTCCAGCTTCCCTATTCCTTTTTTATTTGGCCTTTCAGGTTGCCTCTTTATTGGTGGTGGCTGTAGATCAACAACATTAGTCTTTGCCTACAAGGCTTCCCTATTAAGTGGATATATAAAAGGTCATCAATCTCTAAATGTTGATCCTTCATGAAAGACATTGCATGACAACAAGGAAGTCCAGTCAGCATCCATATTCTACATGAGCATTCTTTTTTGTAAAGGTTGACAGCATATGTTTCTCCATTGAGTGAAGTATGTCTTACCTCATAGTCATATTCACATGCACTCCTATAAACAAGTAGTCATTTTAATGTTAGTCTATGTAAACAGTTAGCCATTTGAAAGTAATATTCAACAAATCAACCATGTTACCTCACAATCCAATGATTGGTTTTCTGTGACTCCCTTTCCATCCTCCTCTTAATGTTAGGTAGTATGATGCTGTCGTATTTGGTAATCTTTTGCCTATTGGATTCTCATATCTGCATTAGATATACTCTAATTTCTTCAAGCATTGTCACAATGGACTTGGATCTAGCAGCTACAAATACATAATTGAAGGTCTCTGACATATTGTTAACCAAAGTGTCACAACCTGAACTTGGCTGGAACCTTGATTTGCTCTAGAATCTTGGTGAAACTTTGATGAGATGTTTGAAGGCCTCTTCATTAACTCCCTTGATTTCAACCATTATTTCCTCTCAAGCATTTACATAACTTGCACATGCAGCCCTCCACATCAATTCCTTTAATTTCAGGCTAGAAAACTTCTTCCTCAAGTTGCTATATAAATGTCTGCAATATAAAGTAAGTGTAAACCAAGTAGATCATGCAAGTAATTCATAAGAACTAAGTATGTCATATTCAACATGTAAGTAAACATAATACCTAACACATAATCTCTGGTCAACATTACCAAGTAATTCATCCATATTGTTACAGTTTGTCTTCTCTTGACCCACATTCTCTTCAATTTCACAGTTGGTCCCCACATGACCCACGTTTTCCTCAATTCCAACATTCTCCTCAGCTTCATCAATTGTTTCCCCCTCTTCCATCATATATTCACCTAGTGTGGTCTCACCTTCATTACTTTCCCTTTCATGTACTTCACCAACCACATCTTCAGCCATTGTGGTCCGATCTAGATTATTAACCATATCAGACCCTTCACCACACATATCTTCACCTAATATGCTCCCATCTGACTCTTCAATAACATCAGGTTCAGATATAGGATGTGTAACATACAAATGGCATTCTCAAGCTAACACTGCAATTGCTCTCATCCTATCAGTCTCCTTATCATTTTCTAACTGAACTATATCATTAGCAAACATGTCATCATAATACCAAAGCCTATCTATAGTAGGGTAACCTAACCCAATATTTCAAAGTAACTCCAATAATCAGGATCAACATCCCATATCTCCTCTAACCCTACATAACCTGACTTGGTAAAATTTGCAAACTCCCTAGAAAACTCATCAGAATGATGAACAACACACTTAAACCTACTCTCCACGACCTAATCAACCTAGATATAGTATCAGAAGTACTAAGTAAGTTAGTTATAGAAGAAAGTTAACATTTTTAGTAACGTATTTGTGCAAGTTCGTACCTTAGGGTTTTTTCTACAGACGAATAAAGAACGGAGTTCTTCTTCAATAGAGGGTTGTTGTCAACAATGTCGCTATCGTCGTCTTCAATGAACTTCGTCTTCAAAGAAGTGTTGTTGTAAACAGTGTCGTTGCTATTGTACTCTCTAAACTTGAGCTTTCATCCAACAACGTAAGTATGTCCTAATATGTTTCATCTTCTTAAAATGGATGTTAAGTGTAATATAAATTTCACCCCATCCATTAAAATAAATACAGAAATTTCACCTCAGCCATTTAAAGTCCAACAATGCATACTTTAACGTTTTTCTAACAAAATCTAAAAGAAATGACTAATATATATAACAGAATATAAGTTAGTGGAGCATAATGTAACGATTTTTTCTTAAGGAACCAAAACAAAACAATAATTAAAGTTAAAGGACTAAAAAAAAATATTAAACCTTTTATTTATTTATGATAAATTGTTTTTCAAACTTCTCATCCTCTTTCTTAACAAATTAGTAATGTTCTATAGTCCCTCGGGTACATCATTATTCACAAATAAACTAATTGTAGCCTTTCCTTGGCTGGCAGTCAACCAAAATGTTACACCAAAACAATGAAATTTCACAAATTGAGAATCCGGTACTTTCATCTTTATTATCTGTAAAAACAGAATAAATTCTCAAAAAAGCATAAAAAGGATGTTTCTATGCATTAATGCAAATGAAAAACCAAACTTTATGTAGATTTAACTTACAATTTATAAATTATATGGCATTTTTATCATAAACCAGTATTAAATATAAATTTACAATATTTCATAAAATAACATGAACCTTCTTCTTTGAATACATTAATAAACAAAGTTTAACTATTATTTTACCTTTGGTATACCATACATATTTTTCATTGACACGTTGCTGATCATATTCTATTTTGAATTTGAATGTCACTGATAAATTTATTACAGATGAAAACCTAAACATACATGAACGATTAGCAAGCATCTGCAGGTAGGAGTGGCCTAGAGTTACCAACAAGTAAAAAAAGAATGGTTTATTGCATCTCGGAAAAAGTTTAGAATAATACACTTTTTAAATTCTATTCTCTCTATTAGATTCTTTTCTTAATGAGGTATCCCAAGATAGGGTTTTCTTATATGCAATTGCAGCCACATTTTGTTTTTTAAAAATATGAAGTTAGAAAAAATTATATATAAATAGCTGACAAATAAAAAATAAACTGTGTCATTATTTTTTTCAAATGGTCAAAACAAATCTCTTAAAAACTATTTCATTGTCATAAAAGACACAACATTGTTATGTATAAATTTTTACACTCTCTCCATAAAAGATTATTTCTTTTAGAACAAAAAATTAAAGATATCAATGACATCATATATTTGATCATTTTATTATAATTTTGAAAGTTTATTTAAATCAATATGAAACTATAATAACCAAATGTTTTAAAAACTAAACTATGGTTTAATCGGTTGAACCGTAAATTGATATTGTCTAAAATTTAGTTATTTGAGCGGTTTGATTGTAGTTGTGTCTTAGCTATAACAGTTTAAAATATTCCTTTTTCATTAGGCTACTGCTGCTAAATGGCTCTGTCATTGCTAAAAAGTATTGTTTCTCAAAATTTTGGAAAAACCAAAACTAAAAGATATTCTATGACATGTGAAGATTACATTAAATTAAGGTCCCAATAAAATAATTGGGTCACATAAGGGGAATAATAATGTCAGCTACACACTTTATTCAAAGTGATGGAAGCATTCTATTCTGTTGTTAGGAAGCTCCATAATGCAAGGTTAATAAGCACTCAACATAACTTCTATATGTTTTAGTACAATTTCATCTATTATACCATTGTCATTTTGAAAGGAATAAAGTGTCATTTGAACATGTCAACCCCACAAAATATGTTTTGGACTATGTTAACATAAAATTCTTCTTCATTTCTTCTTCCATTTGTGATATATTGCGATTAAGTTCTAAATTTTAATCCCGAAATCATAATTCAACGGACAAAAGTCAATATTGTTAAATTGAACGTCATCATCAAGGTTCAAATTCTAATACTCACAATTCTATGTGTGAGTTTCTAGTGATTATTATCACTTCGTCTGCAAATAATAAAAAAATAGTAAATTCTAAGTTTATGTAGTTTGAATTCAAGAATAATGTCAACCGACATAAGCTTTATATGTTTGATGATCTTATCCCTCATGAGGAAAACTAAAGTGTGATGTATATGAATCTGATCACCATATATCTCATGCAAAAGCAAATATTCTTATGCACAATCAAAAGTATAGAGAATAAGGAACCCAATATATTAATGTCATACATGATAGTGGTGTATATGGAACATAATAGTTATACAAAAACTTATTTCTCAACTAAACTCCAAAATCTGCTACAAGAATTGAAAGAGTAACCAAACACAAGGTCCACTACATTTACAACAACCACATGCAGTTCACTACCATAAGTCCTCAAATACCTCAAGAGTTGAACTAAGAAAACCAATTTTCCATATTTATCAAACTTACCTAATGCATGACACTTACTTTTCATCATCAATCATGCACTTAACATGAGGCAAGAACAATAGCAACTTTCCTACATCATTCTTAAACATATTTTCTCTAACTCTCTTTTATTTCAACACTTGGACTCAAAAGTATTAAATCTCAACCAAGTCCCTACAACTCAAGAGAATGGCTTCTCTGATTCACAATTGGAGGACTCAAAAAGCTACAATAGTGTTATTATTTATAATATGTATTTCATTTTCTTCTTCAGTTGAAGAAACCATAATAGCATCTCCAAAGAAATTAGACTATCCAGTGGTTGATCAACCGGCACAATACACTGACGTCAAGTGTGGATCATGTCCTTGTGGTTATACCTGTGCTGACCAATCTCCTCCACCATCACCACCTCCTTGTCAACCACCACCACCACCACCTCCTCCACCACCTCCGCCGCCATCACCACCTCCTCCTCCTCCCAAGTATCCCTCATGTCCTCAAAATTGCAACCCCTTGCCACCGCCGCCACCAAGATTCATATATGTACCACCAGGTCAGGTAAACCAACCTAAACCATATTGGATATATTATTACTCTGGAGCTCAAAACAAAGGCGTGAGTTTACTGGTTTTGGCTTTGGGAGGAGGACTCTCAATTGCAACGGTATTTGGATGATCTCATCATGAAACTAAAGTTCAAATAAATTTCATCTGATTTACGTTCCATTCTCTTATTCTAGTTCATATTATTTTTATTCTGTTTTAATTTTCATGCACTTATTATTGTCTTTCCTAGTAACATGCAGGAAAATTTGTTCTGATATGTGATTCATAACAATTCAAACTTAATCTTAGTAACAAATTTTTTTACTAGTACTATCGTGTGTATATATTTTCGTGTATCTAATTATATATGTGTGCATGATGAACGTATATATTTGGAAAAATAAATTTGACCATGACGAAAAATAGTTCGTACCAAAAAAATTGCTATATACTATCTCATCTCATTAACTATATGTTTGTGGCGGTCAGATTAAGATTAAACAGTCTTTGATTTAAGTTTAATTTTTAAAAAAATATAAAATAAAATTTATCTTTTTTATAACTATTTGATCAGCCAATTAATAATGCATTGACTTCGTGATTGTGTGTTAAACGTAAATGCGTTAATCAAAACTATGACTTTGCGTTATCCATACTTGTTATTGTAAACTTTGCAATGCAAGCACAGAAAGAACTCAAACAACACGAACTTGTTAATTGGTTGGGTTTTTATTGCATCACCCACCCTCCTACATGAAGAGTAAAGTTATATATGCACACGATAAATGGAAAAACAATGGATTGAATATTTTTGTTTGGTAATATCACAAGATGAAATATAAATAAAGGCCTAAAATATGATCATAACATTTCCATTCAAACTTTGTAGGAAATAGAGTTTTGCTAATTCAAATCCTAAAAGGTCCAATAGAATAAGATTTGACAAGCAAATCAACAATGTGTTTTAGAAGAAACCTAGAGCAAGTGAAGGTGTTGCGCTAAACATGATGTCGAATGAAGTGAAAAACATCACCAATATTTAGAGTATTAATGAAAAAGACATAATAGATGATTTAAATATACGTAAGTGGAGTCGGACTTGACAACTTTCAGATCATCCATCACATTTTGTCAAGTAACCTATGAACACATAACTGATGAAGCTAGACAAAGAAACAACGACGGATTCCCAGAAAATGAGATAAATTTGTTGAGATGCCAAAGCAAAAACACCATGTTTAAAGAGACTAAAATATGACGAGAACGTTAAACGATAATGAATATCTAACATATCATTTTACCAGTAGTATATTACTGTGAGATGATTTTTACAAAACTGAAATCTAGAAGAGGTTTATTGAAACATCCTAAACAAACTTTTTTAGATGTTTTATTTGCCTATAATCTCAGCCATTGATTAAGCTAAGCTGCGAGAAAAGAAAATCAAAACTACAATTCAAATACACACGGTGGATTGTAAAAAAAAAATCTTATAGTTTTTCAATCACAATTACACTTTAAAATACAAGGGCAGGGGTCTGGTAAAATATTCACAAGGCAAAGAAAAGACACGTTACATTTCAATTAATACATGATAAAAAATTATAAATATTTATTTAATCTTTTCATAATTATCCAAGTTTTCCAGTATATGGTATAAATTATAATTGACCGATAGGTTAAATAATGTGGCGCATAGTCGAAATAACTTGTCGCCAGCCTGAATCGAATGCTTCATAACTTGTCATTAGTCAAACATGGCAATGCAATAGAATATTGGACGAAGGGCGTCATATCAAGAGCAAGGCAGCACTGCCAACAAATCAGAGCATGGAAAACGCCTTAGATTCGTTTTTGCTCCTGGGCTGCTGCTTACATAGGGATGTATAATTTATACTATGCTTTTCTGATTCATACAGAACTGTAGTTCAATGCCTTGATTACATTACGGTGCCAAACTGCAGTGTCTGGATTAAACCTCAATTCCCATGTAGGCCAGTAGTGCAAATCTTGCTTCAATGTTAGGACTCGTGGCTTCCCATTGAGGTGAATTGTTCTTATACGAACAAACTCTCCATGCTCTAGTTCCTGCAAACATTCTTGAAATAATTACAATGCATTCACGAAACACTAGTATCACAATGCATTCACAAAACACTAGTATCATATCACGACGACAATTAGACAACAATTAGAATACTTCATGAACATCAAACAGGTTTACAGCCATAAATGCTTTATACTAATAAGTATTAGTAACTCAACCTAAATTATGCCGGTATTCAATCATAGTGTAATATAGAATCCTTGCTATACATAGGAGTTTAAGCACGTATTCTAGGCAAAATTCCAAGAAAGGTCGTTGTCACGAGTGTGGTGTTTAAGCACATTCGGTTGTGACCTAGTTATGGCCTCGTCCTTCGGTTGTGACCTAGTTATGCATGTGCACCCTCAATGTGAACCCATCTAAGCACATTGTCGAGGCTTGGCATCCTCGCACGCACGACACGTCCATGTCCAAGTTTCTGTCTAAGTCTAAGTCACGTGTATGGTGTTTAAGCACACATTCTAGGCAAAATTTTGATTATGGCTCACATTCCTTGGTCTTGTCCTTCGGTCGTGACCTAGTCAAACTTTTTACCAACAATGCATTAGCCAATCATTGTAGTGTATTCAATTAGTATTTTTTAAAAGTGGAGAGAAAATATTATTAATAACGTTGACACTAACAGCCATTTTACAATTATCTCGAGGGCATTTGAATCATATCTTTTGAGGTTGTAAAGTTAAACTTTTATCATTGAATTTAACGTAGTGTATTCAAAATTACTTCCGATATACCACTTCATATTAAATATAAGCTCTAACTAGGAAGAAAAGAAAGGTAATTCTACATGTATGTGTAAGTTGCATCCATACATAAAAATATCGTACCTTTGTCACATTAACAAAAGAATCTAGATCTGGAGTTGGTTTTCCATTAATTTCAACTATCCACTGAAGAGCATAGAGACCATATCTATGCACCGGACTCCCATGACACCACCTGTGGAATTGACAAAATTTGTGAGCTAATGCTTAGTCAGACAAGCATGCAAGTAAAGTCCTGGCCCAAGTTCGTGAATAAACAAAATGTAGTAAGTCTAATTTTTTAATCAAACAAGCCTATTTTTAAGCAAACACATCTGTGGTCTTTTAAATTAGATGTTTGTAAGAAGTTCGTGTGTACGTTTTTTTGGTAACAGTTAATCATTTTAGTCTATAGACGTTTACGTCGTTAGTGTTTTAAACACCTTTGCTAAAAAAACAAACTTGTTCGGTATTTACATTGTGACAGGAATAGTGTGTTTAGCACATCCTACATGTACAAACATAAAGCTTTATAATTGGTCTACATGTCGTCAAACTCTGTCTACATTCATTAAGACACATAAGTTATTTGAAAGTTTAATAACAAAGTGTGATATCCAGATCAAGTGCTGGAGCAGAGTTCAGAGCAATGGCACAAACGATATGCAAAGTACTATAACCAAAACATAATCTTAGAAGACATGAGGATAAAGTATGGTGAACCAATAAGGCTGTATTGTGATAATAAGTCTGATATTAGCATAGTCCATAATCCAGTGCAACATGATAGAACCAAACATATTGATGTTGAGAGACATTTCATCAAAGAAAAATTAAATAGTGGTCTTATTTGCACTCCATATATCGCTTTTCAAGGCAAGCTTCAGATCTTCTAACTAATAAGGGGCTAAAAAAAAGTAACTTTGAAATTATTGTTTCAAAGTTGGGAATGATATATATTCCTTCACCAGTTTTGAGAGGAAGTGTTGTAAATAATGTATATTTACTATTGTTATTAGTAATTTGTATTTGGACTTTTAGTTCATTAGTTAGTCCCATTAAATTAGAATAACTTATCTAAAGAGATTAGTGTCTGTACATTATTCATAGTTCATACTGAAAATATAATATTCAGTCTGAGTTGCATGGCATAATGCAGATGTATTCAAGTCATATCTAGACTATTTATCAAATTCTGTTACTTAAGTAAGCATATTGGTGTGAGTGATGTTAGGTAAATAACCCAATCAGACCTTACATCTATCTAGACCAATATCAAGGATCTATCGCAAGCAGTAGAGACATGACAACAATTTGCAAGCATAGGATAACACGCCTAATTCGGAATGGATATGGATACTCTATCCAAATACTCTACATCTTTTCCATCCTCTTTATCTCTATTACATTCCATCTTTCTTTCTATCTCTCAACTTTCTAACACCCTTAGTCCTTTTGTGCTAGAGAAGGAGAGGATCCAAACACTTGTGGTGGGAGCTTCTCAATTAAACTAAGTTCATAGTTCTTCAATTAGCAAAAACTTGGTATTATCTTATAGATACTTATGAAGAAGTCGAATAAGAGAATTATTGGAAAAAAATAGATAGAAGCTAATTTCAATTTATAAGAGCTCTTCTTTCAAAACCACATTGTACTTGCAAGATGTTTTTAATATCTCTTTATGTTAGTGCATGAGAACTTTATCCAAACTGACTCATAGTCTAAGTGAACTTGCTAATGATAATAACAACATTAAGCCTTCATACAATTTTACTTGCAATATTAATATCATTATGAAAACCCTACCATACTGCAATTAATAAATCAGCAATTTACACTTTTCAAGAATTAAAAATTTACATGCACAAAGCTTAAAGCTTACCTTGCCACATAAACACCGTGACCCTCTTCGGGAAGAAATCCAAGAGCACGTACCGCTGAATGTGGATCTTGAACTACACAACCGCACCAATTAACTGTACGGGTTGTTCCATTTCCATCCCTAACATCTGTTCCCACAAGAAGTTCAACCTCTCGTCCCTAGACACAACCACACAAATCAATCACAAATTTATCACACATGTGCCTCAAAAAACAAGACAACAGTTCATTCAACTAGATCTACAAACTCTATATCAGAAAAGGCTGAATATTTTCAACGTACCTGCCGAAAAATAGTCATCTGGAGCAAGCCATCATTGATATTAGGTTTATCTAAGGCTTGGCAAGCATTTTCAATATCAAGGAAGCATGTGACTGGTTCTTTATTGATTGCTAAAATCATGTCTCCTTGCTCCAAAAGATTCTCAGCCTTTGATCCAGCCAAACAACCTTTAACACGTAAAACCTGCCGTCTTATTGGGTCTTTCTTAACAAGTGCCTGCAATAATCTTACCAAAAACCCTTAATAACAAATCATGATAATGGCAGTATCAAAGCTAGTTCTTTCAAGGAGTGAGAGAAGGTAATGGTCAAACGGAATCTAAGAGTATCTAAAAAACAGATTAACAATAGACATTATAATTAATTTTGGTCTTGCTTCAAATAATTTCTTTAAGTAAAGATGAACAAAGAAGAAACAGCAAAACTGAGGACGACTTGTCAACAGTGCCACAGCCCATAATTCCAATTCAAAGAAGTCACATAGATAACCATTTAAGTACCTTTACTATCCCGTTTTCATATTAGTCTAAACTACACAAAAATCTACCCCTGCTTCAGAAAGAAACAGTAACATCCCATGCTTTAATTAAAAAATACCACACTAAACTCTGTTTTTTATATACTCCCTCCTTTCCTTATTACTTGTCACTTTTGTAGAAAAGTTTTGTTTCTATTTACTTGTCGTTTTCAATATTCAATGCAACACTAATTATTGTTTGTCAATAATACCTGAAGTATTTATTGGAGAGGGATAAAAAGGTGGAATGAGATAATAAATAGTTCATGATATTATAGGAAAAAATAAACAATTTCATTAAAAATAACAAAATTTATTAATTTTCTTTGGTAAGTTTAAATAACTCTAAAACTCCATGAAACTGATAGGAAGTGGTTTCTATCTTAGAATAGGATCTAGATTCTGCCTAACCAAAGAATGCTTCTTTTCCCCTGTGGCTGCTTTTGCTATCCACCTTCACAACTTCATCCTTGCTTCTTTCTTCCAATTCTCCAACTTCTTTTCAGATTCCCAGCGCTCCCGATTGTTGCTTATTTTCTTTAGAAATTTCTTCCCTCAATACCACGGTTTCTTGGCCCCTTTTCTTTAGAATCTTGAACACAGTGCCAAACTTCAGGCTGGAGAATGGCCTTCGGGAAATTCCACCAAGAAGCATTTGTACTGCTCCCTTCCAGGAAACCCACCGAACAAGAGACTCTCCTCTCGATGCAAATGCAACAACCCACCATAGTTTCATCTCTTCCAGCATTCTTCTGCCCTCAAAAATATTGCTGCCTATATCAGCCACAAGTAGGCTTCCCTTCCACCAAAACTTGGAATCAACTCGGCAAACATCTTCCTGCGAAAAATTCTTGCTCAATTCCTAAATCCACCTGAGTCAACATCTTTTATACCAGTTGATGGAAACCAACTAGTATTATTATAGAAAATGAGGAATAATTCCCTGGATTACAAAACAATGGCAAAGCTTTGAGGGTCTTCCCAGCTCCCAATACCAAAAAGCCCGTAATTCACTCAATTAACAAGATGCTCCCCTCTTCAATCAATCCTCTCTATTTATAGGCAGCATGCCTCGTTGGGCCTAACTATCTCTGAAACCCACCAACTAACCTCTAACAGAACAACTTCTCTCTCTAACCCACCGACTAACTAACCTCTTAACAGTAAAAGAACAGCCTGCCAATCTCTTAGCCCAAGTTGTAAGCTCAAAGACAATGAAAAACAATTCACTTCATGTACATCCCGTTTTTCTTCAGATTCCACTTTTCTCTCTCCTGTAACTACCTACCTATCTCACATCACATCATTCTTATTTCCATATTCTCCCTTTTGCATCGAAGCCTTAGCCACACTAGTTCTATGGGGAACACACTATAGGACCTTTGTTTAAGGCTTAGCTCAATCCTATCTGGAACCATCAGTAGAGATGACCCAAAGGCATCATGGTACAGACAGTCTTGCATGATTATTTTTAACAAAATGGAAAATTGTAAAAATAAATTGAATAACGGAAGTTTTGGCGAGTTGGGTTCTGGGGATCACAGGGTCACATCCGACCTTAAGGTTTTGTTTGGGAGTTTGGATGGGAATGAAGGGGAGGACTTTGAATAAAAGGATGTAGTGAAAAAAATTGAATGATTCGAGAAGAAGGGCTTTGGAGGGCTTATTTTTTCTCAACACAAAATTCCCCTAAATTTGGTGAAACTCAAAGATTATATTGGATGAGGATTTTGGGGGACTTTGGAGGGTTCATTTAGCATTCTACATAAAAGCTCTTCCTCAAAAAAAGTTAAAAATTTATCTATTTTTCTCTCTAATCATCTTCTTCCAGATCCTTTCCCTCCCTACCCCTCCAAACTCTCAAACAAAGCTTAAGGCTCTGAGAGTGCTTACATATTACACACCAAAGAGATTCTCACACCAGCAGCAGGAGTTGAACTCCCGCCCTTGTGAGGTATGAATCAACTTCTTGCCAACTAAATCAACCTTCATTAGCTAAATTTGTAATTTAGGTAATCATCAATGTAACTAGCTATGTAGCACCAACACCTCTGAAAAAAGGTGTCCGTGTCGGAATCGGACACTTATACCGACACTCGTGTTTAAGTTTAATTTATTCATTTTCTAAAACTATTATCGGTGTCGCACTATCAGTGTCGGGGTCGTGTTCGAGGTGTCCGTGCTTCATATGTAACTAGTGTTTCAAATCATTTTTAGCCACAACATATGACAATACGCGTTCATCATGAATAGTACACGATTTACATTTAGTTTAGTAAAATACTAATTTTCATAAAATAGAAAGCTGCAACTTTGCATTCTTTTATTGCCAATAAAGTGGAAAAAGTTCAAAAATTTTATCTATAGAAAGAAAGTAAATATTCTAAAGAGAAACTCAAACCATAAAGGAGCATCCATCATACCTGAATCCAAACATCACTTAATCCAAAACTGCGAGCTTTTGAAAGTAATGTTGGATAAAGTTCAACTTCTAATATTCTCACAAGTGGCATAGGCCTTTTGACACCATTTATGAGAAGAGGTGGCCCATTTGCAGCAGATATGATCTTGTCCAGGACCTGGCTTATTGCATAAATCGGAATTCCTCTCACGAATTGATGATCTTCTGATGTACTGCCACTGTATTTCAGCTGGAACATGGAAACTCGTTCAGATAAATAAATAAAACATACAACACATTTTACAAGCAGCCAGGGTTCATTATATAACCCTCCCCCTCCCTTTTGCAAAATATGAAAACATTTAATAAGTAATCACATCAAAATCAACCCTTTCACAAAATAGAATTAAAAAAACTGTTAAAAGTTAGGAAGAAGTTTATTTTAAATATAGGTCTAATGAAATATTACTGCTTCCTTTTTCACTGTTAGATATTTTGAAGTTTGTTCAATAAATATTTTGATATTAGTTCAAGGCTTTATTTATGCAGAGTGGCCACAACCTAGGGTGGGTGGGCATATCACATTATAGATGTTTGCCACAAACCTAAAAAATCTCTAATTTGTCACATGTCACGCCTAATATCACCCCCAAAAAACTGTAATTGTGACATGTTTGTGTACATAATAATAAGATTAAAATTAGGATTGAAATTAATTAACCATGACCATTTGAGACTTGCTTGGAAAAAAAGCAGATAATGAATAAATAACAATGATAACAACACACTTAAAAAATTACCATTCCCTTATTTTTATTATATTAAGTTAGAGATAAAGTTAATCAGAATATTATATTAATTAATATCGTAATTATATTTTTTATTCCTCTGTACATTCAGATATGACAACATTGTGGTATGAAAATAATTAGCCATCTTATTTATTATACTCTCTACCAAACACCATGAATACGAGATTACAGTATTTCCATTGCTCTTACCATTTCCCTCCTATATTTTCTACCCTTCCACCCAAGGAAATTTAGTCAGCGGAAGAATGCTATAGACATCCAGAATTTTTTTTGCTAAAATAATGTGATGCTTGTTGATTTTTATATGGATGGGTGGTCCCTACTCCCTAGTCCCTACCACTTTCAAGTAGCCCAAAAAGCACACTTGAATTTTGCCAAATTTCAGGCAATTTAATATCAGCTGTGTAACATTACTCAATCACATGAATTATTCTCGTTAAGACTTGTATTATTTTTCTTCTAAGATTTGAGATTCACTTTTATAAAATCTATAATACTTCAAAACAGCTAAAGGTCATGAAAAGGAGTAATGGCATATAGACTTCAAGGACCAACCCACCATCTGGTAGTCTTTTGAAGTATGAGTAAATATTGTCTTGTCTCGTCTTTTCCCAGTTTTCATCTTTCTTCTCTTTTTCTTCTTCTACGAAGATACAATTGTTTTAAGTTAGGCTTTATTATACTATACAAATGAGAAGACCAAACACTACCACAACTTTTTGAAGTTAGGATTTACTGTACTAGCCAAATGAGACGACCAAAAACTATCACAACTGTTTGAAGTTAGGCTTTATTAGACTATACAAATGAGAAGACCAAAAGCTATCACAACTGTTTGAAGTTAGGCTTTATTATACTATACAAATGAGAAGATCAAAAACTATCGTAGAATATGTACATTGTTTAAACCCTTTCATTTGGGGATTTTAATCATTATCGTATCATATATTGACAAAGTCTGCTTATTCTTTTTTAACTTCATTTGGAAATTAGTATTGAGGTAGTTTTGGACTATATAATGGTCGGGGTCAATTCCAACAGGCAGTTCATCATTAGAAAGTCATTAAGTAAACATATTCCTTATTGTGGCTTGTGGTGCCTCCTGCTCTTGAAATGGGGTAATGCAATTTCATCCAAACCATATATTCTGTTTAAGCTATTAGTGTAAGACCCAAGAGTAGTTCATAGTAAAACTTGGGGAAAGGGGGGGGGTTTATATGCCCAAGCTCGTCCAAGTCTGATGTTAATTTACTTAATAATGAAAAAAGAAGCAGTAAGTTTGAATTTTTGAAGGTCTAGTAAAAAAAGGGGCTCATAATATGTTAAAGAATGATTTCACCCAAAAGCACACAGATATTTGGAAAAGGCTTACAATGAACTTTCTATTTTAATGTATAAGAATTCATTTTTATCAAACAATTTACTATATCATTTTTTCTATCTTGGGCTCAATGAAAAATGTCTAGAGCCATCCTGGTATGCAAGCAAGAGGATAACTGGTAAGAACCTGAGTAGAGAAGCTTCCCCATAAAGCCTGGACCCTTCCATGTTCATCTGTTAGCACACCCGAAAATGAACTACCAAAATCTGTATTGAAACATATGAAGGGTAAGACATTTATCTAAATGAGTATTATGTTGGTTAAAAAATTGAAAACATCCAAATTTACCAGTATCAAGCTCAATAACTTCCATGTTAGTTGCTCTGTAACGAGGGGAGTCTGCCGATCCTATATTTAATGCAGCGCAAGGATTGGTAACAACTGATTTCCTAGAAGTTGCTTGAAGGCTTCTGCTTAAGCCCACAAGGTAAACAGAATCTCCTCGGCATAATGCTGGCTCTGAACAAAAAATGTACTTATATTTCGTCAATATAAAAAAAATAAAAAAAATCATCATGAAGTGCAAATGCTCACAAACATCTTCCTTCCCACAGCATCCACATCTAAAATGTATATACTCATTCATAATTCAACAAATCACATTTTACCTTTTAAAAGGTCCCACATCTCTTGCTAGAGTTATTTAATCATTTACTACCAGAAGCAATTAACTTCCACACAAAATGAAAATAATCAAGTATCTAACTGCGAGGATATATAGTGATAAGTCCACAAAAAGTTAATCATACTACCCTCACTGGTTAGACCAGTTTGACTTGACAGAAAGAGGACTGAAAAATCAGGCTTTGGAGCAACAGAAAATCATAACTTCCTTGTTACTATTCCCAATTAGCTAGTTAGCTTTTCTCAATTCAGTCAAAGTATAGATGGCAATGTTTATGAGTCACTGAGAATGAAACATCTTCATCATCAAAAGTGGATTGGATAAAGCAACCTCAAACAGTCTAAATTTAAGATATGACATGGTCAAACCCACCTGGAAGTAACTCTGCAGCACGAACCACTGTAGCACCAACAGGTCCCAAGGCAGATGGGTCATATGATATGAGAGCATAATTGTGAACAGGATGGAGAAATACCACCTGCAGTAAAGAAAAGAAACACCAAGCTAAAGAAAGTCTGTCTTCTTGTTCATTCATTTATATTATTAGCAACAAATTCTATAAGAAAGATTTACCTCTCCAGGAATTTCAATGGGGAAAGCAGCAAAAGATAGCAACACATCAGAGGAAGATACTGCAACAGTATTCTTGTCAACTGCAACTAATCCTATATCTTGAGTTTGATATATTATGACACCGGTTCCAAAAAAGTGCTGCGAATGAACACCATCAAGCATACAAGATGGAGGAACGTGCACCTGAAGATGGGAATAATCAAGAACCATGGGAAAACAAGCAAGTCAGCAGCATTACCACACTACAGCATAAAGCATTGAGATCTAACTCGTAGAAGATGTTATAAATGCAAAAGAAAAAATAAAATAAATAAAATAGTACGAACATAATTGCCAGAGGAATGAACTGAAATGCTGCAGTAAAATTTATGCCAAGTCAAGTCAATGATCAGAATTGCCATAAATTTCAAAAACTACCTCAAACATCACAAGAGTAGACTCAATCACACGCTCAGTGATCGATGCATTTGCTGTGGCAGCAGTTGCACCTTGATAGTCCATTAACCCATCATCCTGTATGGCCCCTGATTTTTCTAGCTTAGTTTCCTCGGATTCATTTAAGGAAATATCAGCTACACTTCCATCAGTTGATAAATCATCTACTCTTCGTTTTTTAACTATGCCATCAGATCCATTGTGGTGAGATACACCCTCTAAAGGATCTTCATAATTAGTTTCCATGCTAGTGACACCATCAACCAACTCCTGATGGTTACCTTCAGACACATCTCGCCCACAAACATGCTCACCGGTCAATGAAATTGGACTGCTGGCCAGATTTCCAACATCTTTAGTCCCAGATGATAGAAAAGGGGAATCAGGCTGAAAAGCAGGCTTAGCAATCCACAGGCCAGTACTGTCATCCCGAGTATATATCTGGGGAGGTGCATACCATTCGTGGCGATCAATCGTCACCAACACCGACTACAGCCATCAGACAAGTTCATGAAACATAATTAGAAATAGGTTATACCTTTATGAAATCATGGTAAACTAAAGTACCAAAAGAATATAGATATAAAATATAAATATACTGCTGCTTCGATCATGAAACAGTATCGTGTCAAAAAGTCAATACAACAACCAAGCCCTGTCAAATTAAGTGGGGACGGCTACATGGATCAAATTATGTCAATACAACAACCATACCCTTATATTTGTATTTCAACTCCAATAACCACAATTCATAAGGAAATTTTAGTAAATGAAACTCAATTTATTATTGTAATCAACATTACGTATAATAGTAAAAATTGTGCAAAACTCAAAGGGGACACTTAAAATGAGACGAAGTGATTACTAAAATATCTTTGATATTATATTAATTAAGTATCTTAGTTCATCCCCTAAAATTAGTTTATAATCTCAGTGTGTCATAGATTATCTCCTAGTATTAGTTTCCATATTACATGGTTATTATGATTTGTTTCCTGATTTCCCTATTTATTTTGGATATGTATCCTGTTAAGAAGTGTGGTTGGGCCTAACTCAACCCTACAAAACCGGCTGGTAGAGTGAGGATTACCCCCACTTATAAACACATGTTCATGCCACATATTGTCCGATGTAGGACTCTTAACATATCCCTATAAATAGAGGTTAATACTTAGCCCTTTAATATCAAGTTACTATTAAGCTCTTATAGATGATATTTAGCCTTTAATTTCCCTCCAACTTTTATCTAAAACCGATAACTCCAACAGAAATATCTTACACATTCCTCCCAATGAGGGTTTATTATAGAAAATGAACCACGGAGACATAAGAGGTATTTATAGACTATACATCTATCTAAATAAGGGTGTAATTATTCTCCCTATAAATGCTAATTATTCATAATAAATTGTATAGAATAGCAGCTCATAATGAGTTGTATGATATTCAACATATAATAATAATAATAATAATATTACAATACTCCCCCTCAAGCTGAGGAATGGATATCTATCATCCCCAGCTTGCAAGTAAGATCTCGAAACCGCTCCAATGGGAGTCCTTTGGTGAGCACTGTTGCACCCCAAATTTTGACCCCTTAGATCTCCATCATCAGTCTAGGATTATTTTCATTTGATTATATAACCATAACCTATTCCAAGTTTGTCTTTGTTAAGATACAGGTGAATTAGGGTTTCGTACAGTCAGGAATCGAAGTCTCGGCGGTTTAATCAGTTAATGTATTGGATTGATTCTGCATGAAACAAGTTTTCACATCATCAAAGATACTCCATTAGGTCAAGTATGAATCCAATTTGAGGTTGTCACCCAAAGATTAAAGACAATGCAGTTCAGGATCCCAGATTAGGATTTTCGATCAGGAAAAGTCAACCGTAGTTTGACTTTTGATTTAAAAGATGTTCCAATGATGGAACTATGGTCCATGAAGTTAATATGGCTTAGTTAAGTCCACTCAAGAATTTTCAAGGCCTCAGACGACCCGGAACATCAACGGTCGACTCGGTAGTCATCGATCGATCGTTCGGTTGACCGAAAAGTCAACTCCTCAACCATAAGGAATTTGACCTCAAAGTATGAAGCAAAAATGCTCCTAGTAACATATTACACTTATCCATGAAGTTTCATGACCATTGGGTCAAGGATTGGGGAGTAATCGGAAAAATTGGAAATTAGGGTTTTGAAAGGGGCAAGACCATAACTTCCTAACCACACATCCAATTGTGTTGGTTCAAAGCTTGTTGGAAAGGTATTGACAAGTCCTACAAAAGTCTCACAGTGGTTCATGGGCAGAAAATGCATAGATTTGGAGTTATGGTCAAAATCATCACAAGAGGGAGAAAACACTTAGAGAAATTTCAAGTTGCTGGCCTTTTTAGGCATGTTTTCAGCCAACTTTGAGGGGATTTTTGACCTAGTTCCACTTGAAATTTGAAAATTTTCAAAAACATGAAAGTTGTAGAGCTCCATGAGGGCTTTCAAAAAAGTTATAGAACTCTTCCATAGCCCTTGTGAGCTGAGAGTTTCAAATGAAGCAAGTTGGGCCTGTGCACTAGTTTGTCAACTTGTCAAAACCCAACATAAACTTGATTTCCAACTATGAACTTCATCTCTAACCATGGAATGACCTCTGATATGATGTGTTAGAGGGTGAAGTTAACTAATTCAGAAGAGAAATCAAGCAAATCCCAAAGAATCGTCCAAGATCATTGTTTAATACAAAAAAAGTACAAAAGTACAATAGGAGAGAAATGGTTTGTGGCTGCAGCATGGGAGATCTGTCCTTGCTATCTCTATAGTCACTTCTTACAGCTCAAGATTATCTGGTTTTAGAGGCTTATGACCCTTGAAAACATGCACCATCTGCAGAAAGCAATTACACTTGGATTTGCTAAGATCTTCCATCCAAAAACCACCTTGAAAACCACTTGAACAAATATGTCCTAACCTCTCACTTTGCCTATAAATAGAGGCTTCCTCTATGTTATTTCACACACTAGAGCCCTCTAAAACCCAAGAAAAAACCCAAACTCTCTCATCTTGCCTTGCTTTACTTGTAAGTGAAGAAAAGGTTCCAAAACATCAAAAATTGCCTTGTACAAAATTCCATACCAGCATCATTTCTAACCATTAAACCACCATAAAAACCATCCACACAAACTCAAAATCATTATTAGAAGGTGTCCTAACCTTTGTTTCCATCAAAAACACCATAAATCCAAAAGTCAACTTCTCACTCACTTAAGTTTAACTTTTATGCATAATATGGAACAACTCACTACCTAGATCAATTTCCATCACTTTGACACTTGGAACACCTATTTATGTCATACTAGCTATTTGAAACCTTGGACAATAATTGGAAATCCATTTGCTCAAACTGTCCTCAAGGTTTCCTTGTTTCTTCAAGAAGAAGTAATCACAAGCTTGCATCAAGGGAAAGAGATTTTACAGCTAGCTTATTGTGGGAAGACTACAAGAGGTATGTCTTCTTAAAATTTCTCATTGATATGCATCATGTATGTATTGACTGGTTTGTTGATTGAATTGGACATTGTTATGTTTAAGTTGTAATTATGCTGGCAAAACCATTTTGAAGGTTGAGTTTGTCAACTCATGACTTTTGACTGTTTAGAACTTGGCTCTCATACTAGATTATGTCTGCTTGAAGTAATGACTATCATTAGGTCAATGTGTGTATGTTGTGGCTTTTGTAAAAGTGTTGATGAAGGATGTTGAAACATATGGTAAATTGAGGATTGATATTGTTATATTGAACTCATGATCATTAGTTCTCATGTTTGGTTTTGCTTGATTGAAATACTAGCTGTCATGAAGGCCATGTATTAACTAGTATTTGCATTAACTTTGTTTTGTTTCTGTTTAAACAATTCTGTTTTGGTTTGTGAGAAAGGTTGTTGGCTTTGCATTTCAACTTGTAAGTTGTGGCCTAATTTAGTTTGAAAGTTTTGTCTGCATTGTTTACTTTTATAAAAGTTTGATTGTTGGATTTCTATATGTACTTGCTGTCTAAGTTTGTTGTGAGGTCTGTCAACCTAGAATTCTTATCAGAATTCCAGTTGATCTTTTAGGGTTCATCAAAGCTTAACATATGTCTTGTTGCTGTCAGACCTTGTTTTCTCTCAACTAATCCTGTTCGAATTAGTGGCTGTCACATAAAGAAGTTTAGGTTATGTTGTTTGATTTTGGACATTGTCGTGTTTGGTAATTGTCATGTTGGATTAGTGAATGACCATGAAAGGCATATGGTTACATTGTAATGTAAAAAACTGTGTTGCTTGTTTCTGTTTTCAAACAAAACACTCTTGTTTGATTTATGTCTTTATTCTTTTTTAACTTACTGCTGGAGCTATGACTTTGTAAGGGCCTGATGTTTGGAATTCACCAATATATGTTGTTGAAACACCAAGACATTGCAGCAAGAAACTCTTATTGTTTGTTTTTTAAAAAAGAAAACCCTTGATGCATAATGCTAGAACATGATTTTAGGTCTGTTCAGTTTTGTCTTAAGGCCATTGGTTATGAGCATGTTCATGCTTGGTAGTTGTTTTAAGCATATGTGTCTTTACTATGTGTCTTGCTATGACTTAGGAATCATATTTGATTTCTGCCTTGATTTGCTTGTCAGCATCATAGGTCTTTACCCCTTTTTTATTCATGTCAAGTAGTGTCATGGTATCTTGCTACAAACTCAATTGCCATGACTTGACAGCCCCCCTTGATTTCAACTCTTCTACTAACAGTAGTCTAGAAGTTCTTAGGTGACTGATTCAAGTTTGCATTTAACTCATGTTTGTTTGAACTTATTGAATTTGTGTTGGCCTGAGGTGATGGGTGGTTTTGGTCTTGCTATTGACCATCCTGTTTTGTTTGTGCAACTCATATTCATCATTGCAACTCATGTGCTTTCTTTTGTTCTAATGACATCTTGAATCATCTTTTGGTTAAAACTT